GCCTGGGGTGTGTGTGGAGCAAGTGCTAAAAAGAAACAGCCTGAGTCAGTGGGCCACCTTAATTTCAACCAGGAGAAATCACATTTATATCAAGGCAGAGAGTCACACTTCTGTCTAGAGACACAGTTAAGCAAACAGTGGTATAATTAAAGTTAAAGCTTGAGGGCTCCTTCCAAGGGAATAAAATTGAAATAACTACCACTACCCCCACCAAAAATATGACTTAATTAAATATGCATGCACATTGTTGAAGAGTAATCATTAACCCTGCCTCCAAGGGAAAAAATGAACTTGATTAATTTAAAAAAAATAAATAAAAACTATTACTGATTTCCCCCTAACCTAGCTCCCCAACAATTCAGTGCAGAAATTCAGCTGGGATAAATATGAAGGCACCAGTGACAGAAAACCTAGCGGTTCCATCACCCTGGGAGATGCCATCACCAAAGCCACCCTCTGTCTTCCTCTGCGTGTCGTCTGCCTCCACGCACACACATCCGTTTCCTTGGAACAGCAAGTCTACTTTGACACATCACTGAGGGGTACTCCGGCTTTATACTGGATAGATTTCTTTCATTCGAGCTGGTAAGGACAGTGCCCTCCCCCGGCTGGGTGTTCATCCGCAGGTCCGCGGTGAGAGTACCGCTTGTACTAATCACCCTTTCCTGCGCTATTATTGGTGAGGCAATTAAGCCTTGCAGACACTGAGCGAGCGGAGGGGCCCGTCTGCAGGCGGCCGCGGGCCTCTGGGTAATCAATCAACTTTCTCAGCTGCACTGTCAATCAGAGCTGTGCCAGAGTGGCATCTATTGACAGTTCCCAGCATGCGGGCGCTTTTCCGCTCCCTCGCCTCTTTGGAGTTCACGGTAATATGGACTTTGAGCCTGCTGGTTTTTCATCATAGAGTGGAATCTTTTCATTTTCTTCTGCTTGTGTTGATATTCTTCCCTCCCCCCCCACCCCCGTTTTATCCTTTCAAGACTATCATAAAAATACATTTATATATATAGTATTCAACACAAATCCCCTAGAGGCCTTCTTGGGCTGTGGTTTCAATAGGTATTGTTCTGTATCTCATTTCCTTTCTCCTTACGTGAGACCCCCTCCGACTACAACCTGCGATCCCATCAGCAAGCTCAGAACACCTGTAATACTCCATCTCTTCCAATGTTTTTGACCACTGCTGCCCAGAGTCCAGGACTTCCGGCCTAAATCACCAACAGCAAAAACGTTCTTCCCACGTCAGACAGTACCCATTTTTATTTTTAATTGGATATTGACAAATTATAATTGAGTTTGTTTATGAGGTACAACGCAATGCTCTAAGTCATGTTTGGGTGCTTTTGCTTTATTCCTTGTGCCAATCAGAAACAATCCCCTTGGCCAGTAATTCCCCATCTTCTCCCCACCCCCAAAAGTCCTAGTTGTGTCAAACTATTGACAGGTATTTCAAATGCTGAATTTCCGATACTATCCCGATTTCAAGTAATCTGGTCCTTAGACCAGCACTCCCACTTTGGGCTTGGGAAATCTGGCCCAAGTACACCAAAAGGAGCTTCTTCTAAGTAATTGGAGTATTACTTCATTTCAACATTGCACGACCACAAACGACCACAAAGGCATCAGCAGGAGAAACCACGCAGCTCAATGAGAAATCTATCTTCATCTCCCATCATCAGCAAAAAGAAAATCTTAGGTCCATTTGGAATTTCTTAGTATCTGGACCTCTCTTCCACCTGGCTTTGCAAATGTGGGATCCCAAAGGCATGAGCTTGTAAACAGACACATGTGAGCTCACACTTTCACACACATTACACACCACCCCTGCTTGAATACACACACAAGAGGGCTATTCTTTACCCATCCTCAAACTCACACAAACCTCGACAGTCCTAGTATAAGGAAATGCAACATGAAAGTGAAACTTTTTACCCTCTACTCTGCACAAGTCCTGGGGTCGTGTTCTCCTGGCTCAACAACTCCTAAGTCACTTCTTTTACTCTATCCATTCACAAGTAGCACTCATGACAACTGCCAATTTGTTACCAGTATCTAGACAGCTTCTTTCACGCATGAAAAATGGGAGTATAATCTCTTTTTATGAAATCCCTCCATGAAAGGGTCTGTTGTCAGCACAAAAATAAGTTTACCCAACAGTATCTTAATGAGCAAGCAAAGCGTAGCAGGAAGACAGTAATGACAACTGTCAGCCGAGCCCTGATCAGGGTCCAGGCATGAAGCCAAGCACAGCGTATAAACCTCTTTTTACATCCCTGCTACCCCCCCACCCCCACCCGTCAGGTGGGGCCTTCTGATAGATCACTGTGAAGACACAGGGCCTTGAGGCAGCAGAACCACCTCTCCACCCAGACTGTCCAGGCCCAGTCCCTCAGCACCTTGTTCTTCCGCCTACAGTCCCAGGAGCAGGTTTTGATGTTCCTGGATCACAAACTCTCTGGGCTAAACACTCCTGGATTGGCACCCTACCTTACCAAATAGTGCTCAGACACAGCCTGCACCCCCATCCCTTACCCTGAGAAGAAAAGAGCCCGTCTCATCCCCTGAGACAGCAGAGAGGGTTCTGAGGCTCTGAAAAGCAGTTGGCAGCTTCCTGTCTAGCTCAGCCCTAAGTGTTGAGTCCCTTGGGCCTGAACTCTTGGCCCAGCACTCCAGACTCATTCTAGGTTGAGATGCCCCAGCTCTCCAAGTCCTCCATTCACCATGAAAGCGCTACCTGCTCCAGACTCCAAGTTCTGCTCTAGACACAGATCAGTGCCATCCTTTAGCTACCGGAGGTGATGGAAGCAGAAAGATGTGAACGCTCTGTGACCACCTCACCTACCCCTTGTCCTCTCCTTTCTGTAACGACACTTCCTTCAAGCCAACTTCTTAGGACACACCACCACCAAAACCAGCTTGTCTTCGCCCAGTGTCTGAGATCTTCCAAGAGAAGGTAACATCTAAACATCCTCTAGTCATTATGCCTACAAAGTGCTGCATTTAAATCTTATGTAGCAACGTGTATGAAATATTACACATAGCAGCTATTACAAAATATTTTTCCTTTATTTTTTTTTTTTTTTTTTTTTTGGTTTTTGGCTTTATATGCATGGTTATTTTGCATGAATGTGTGTCTGTGCACCCTGTGTGTGCGGTGCCCATGGAAAACAATGTTTTTAGCCATCTATTTTCTCTAAAGACTGCCTGGCATTGAGCTTGGACCATCTCCTAGACAGACCATGCCCAAAGGAGTATCCCCCCCACCCCCTCAAGGATCTGTGATCCTTTTCCATAGGCAATCTACAAGCCAGAGAAAGCCCCTCTGAAGGCCACCAGACCTCACCAGGGCTTCCTCTCAACAAGCCCCTCAGTACAGCGGGATCCTCTCCCCGATAGGCTGTCTGACTAGTACTCTGGGACATAGGGTTAGAGAACAACGTTGGGATGACCAACAGAGAGCCGGAGACTGTGCCTGGCCATGGCAAATCGTGTGTTGATACAAAAAGTCATGGCATGGGGGAGGACATTGCCTGGCACAGAACACATACTGTAGAAAAAAAAAATTTTTTTAATTGTTGCTGCCTTTTAAGCTACAGCTATCGTCTTCAGCAACTGCAACTCCACCGCTGCCAGCTAGACCACATGAGCCAAAGCCTGAGGGAATTCTGTTCCCTCGGACACCAATTTTTTCAAAGCTACTAAAGCAACTTATCTAAATCTGTCACACTAAAGAACTCAAAATTCTAAGGTTGAGGTAGAATCTCGCTTCCCAGAGAGGCTGAATAGCGAACAGCTCACCTCCTCGTGTCTCCCAAGAAGTTCTCATGCGCCTTCTTGCCCCTCCTTATAAACCCTTCTCCACCTGGTGCCTCCCAGAAACTTCCCATCAGCTAGTTGATGACCCAGCCTCCTGACCGCAGGTGAATTTTATTTAATCAAGCACGTTTTCGTCATTAAATGTTCCAGTGCATAAACAAAAGTAATGCCTTAAAATAATATTCCACAACAGAAAAACCTGTGTCATGCAGTTCTAGTTTTTATAAATATGGTTTTTTTTATAAGCATGATGGGAAAAGGATAGAGATTGCCTGGGCCTCGGGAGTAGGGAGGGACCCATTTCAGAGTTTGAAGGAAAATTAGGATTGAACAAATTCTGTATTCAATGAGAGAAGGGGAAAACAGAATAAAAAAAAAGAAAGTGGCTAACACTGACGCCCTCCTACCATACACATGACATCCAAAATCCTCACCAACGATAAATTTTTGCCTCTGAAGTCAGCTAAACTCATTACCTAACTTCAACTAACTTAAGAGAAATCTTTCCCCTGCCAGGCATGAATTTACACTTTGTTCAGAAGACAAACTTCACATTGCTGATCACAAACCAGAAAAAGGAAAGCGGTAGTCTGGAAGTTAACCCGGCGAGAACCGCATGAACAAAGGGCTAATGTCCCTTCAGTTTTTCCAAACAAAGCATATAGTAAACATTCACACACTCAGCCTGTCGCTACCACGGATCACCGTTTGTGATGCAGTCCACTCCAATGTCATCCCAACCCTCTTGTCCCATCCAATCTGTAGGACTGCTTCCCTCCCATGTAAAGCAAACACATTTTAGTTCCATGTTGGCTGCTTGCAGGACTCCTTTGCCCGTTTTTGCCTAGTTCTCTCCTTTTATTGGGAGAGTCAAGTCACTAAAATGAGTTACTGGAAAGTCAGAGTTTAGTTCAAGCCTTCCAGAGTGAACCGAAATAGCTCCTTGCCCTGACGGAGCCACACACACAGGGGTATAATATAGCATGTGGCCCACAGGTCTTCATTATGCCACAATGATACCCAGATGCCAAACATCAGAGCTGGCATTTAAAGCCAAGGGGGCTGGAGAATGTTTTAAACCTTCCCCGTCTCTCTCCTCCAAGATTGTAAAGACAGCAGTGCATAACACAGCCAGTGTTTTTCCTAACTAGCCATTGACAAGGAAGAGTTATACAGGTACTTACTATTTATATCCCATGGCCACATCCACAAAGTACTTCCTCCTCTGTCGATAGACATTGTCCTTAAATCCCTTAAAGAGAAAAGATTAAGTTATTTCACAAAAGTGCTGGGGGGAAAAAATTAGCCGCAGAAGACCTAAAAGAAAATCACTGTTTATTGAGTGCAATTCAAATGTAAATCTTATCCTCGGATGACCCACTGGATACTGGATAACAGAAAGCGACTGAGTTAACAGTAAAACCTCTTTCAACTTGAGTCTACTAATTTGGGATGTGTGGGAATTCAGGCCAGAGTTTACCTTCCCACTAGGCAAGTAGCAAGGCTTAGCCAAGTAAATTGTTTTACACAGTATCTTTAGGTTTAAGTATCATTTCCAAGTAATTGATCTTAAGTTCATCTTAGCCTATTCATTAAAACAAGTTTAACCAAATTTTAATTGCTGTGTATAAACAATACTCAGCCACTCGAGTTAATTATCAAATCACCAAAATGATCGTGAATTACAGAGGTTTTGCTGTGTTTATGACCATAACCATGCAACAGAGAACCCACGCACAAGGGCAGGCTAGCTCCATGCATTCCCCTAAAGGACTCTCAATGTGTCTTAACCGATTGCAAGATTTTTTTTTTATCTAAACCATAAAATACTAATTTAAAAAAATACTTTTATCTAACCTCATCCACTTAGGAAATTAAACACTAAGTGTCACTTTTCAGTCTCATGGACGCCTGAGAAGGTTTCCTGGTTCACCAATCTCTCCTCACATCAGTGGGCTGCTGGGAAGCCAGGAACCACGGGGGACATGCAAGAGTAGTCCGAAGGGACCATAAAATTCAACGGTAAAAGAGGTGCCCACCAGGACATAGGCTACCAAAGTAGCAATACAGACATTCCTGCAAGGTGGAATATTCAAAACAAACAAAAAAAAAAAAGGCCAGGTTCTCTTGTCTACCTGAAATAAAATGGGTCTGAAGACCGGGAATCTTCATGGGGTTGTGTGCTGGATGTAACTCAAGAATTAGCCTTTTTTTTTTTTTTTTTTTCAGAAAAGCAAAAAGTAAGGAAGGAGAGACACCTCAGATCACTCTTAAACCTGGTAAAAATGAGGTCACCCATACCCAGTAGCCCACATTCCCCCCTCCCTGAGCTTAGAATTCAGATTGTTTAAACAAAGGCCCTTAGGCGTGTAAAACCCTAAAGTGCCTACAGGCAAAGCTTGTGACTGAATTTACCACATTTACAAATGTGTCTCCTGCTCTGGAGGGTAGATATAGACAACGCTGGAAAGTGGAGCCCTCACCCACTAGTAAAACAGACTGGGGGGAAGGCGGGGGGGTGGGGGGGATGGGGACGGGGGAAGCTGAAGATTCCCAAGCACATGTATGCTTCAAAATGAAAATAGGCCATGAGAAAGGGGAAGAGTTCCGTGAAAAGCATAGCATCTGTCCCCTGGTTCCTGCCAGGCTGGACACCATGGCAACTGCATCATAATCTGCTTGCTTCCAGAAGAATCTCCACTCTCGCCTCAGCAAACACCTGCACCTTTTTTCCAGGGACAGGAGATTTTCTCATCATGCCTCATTAGCCTAGAGTGGCAGCGATTACAAAAATGTGTGGGGGACCCAGAGGTCTCTGGATTCATCCGTGGCTGGCATAGGAAAAGGTGTTACCTAGCTGAAGCAGCAGTTCCAGACACGCGACTTTTTTTTTTTTTTTTTTTTTTTTTTTTTTTGCCATCCATTCTGAACTGAAGCCAGGAGCAGGGTACCAGATACAAATACAAGATGCCCAGTTAAAATGTCAATTTTTTGGATAAATGACAAGTTTTTCCAATTTTACCGGGCAACTTTATATATTTGTAAAAGAAAAAAAATCTGGTGACCCTGGCACCCAGAGAGAGCCTCCTGTACAACCCCACCCCCAAATTAAATCAAAGCGAACTGAAGGCCCAGCCTGAACCCTAATGTGCCCAATTCGATTCACGCTACCACTCAAGGAGGCATCTGAAACAGCTCAACCCTGGTGTGATATTAGAACCATTTGGGGAATTTTAATAACACTTCAAACCTGGCCCTTTCCCCCAGAGGTTCCGATTTAAGCTCTAAGAGCGAGGGCCTAATTTTTAACTTCCCCACAGATGATTGAAGTGGGACGCTAGGGTACAGAACTCAGAGCTAGGACATTAATTCTCACCCTTCGAACAACCCGAACCCGAGTCTTCTACAGACCCTTTTCCACGCAGACCTCCCCGCAGCCTCCTTTCCTGGGCTCCTGGGGAGTGTCTCGAGGGTTTTTTGTTTGTTTTGTTTTTTAATATCTGAAGAGTGGACCTTGAACCACACCTTGGAAGACCCTCGCGGTTCTGAGCCCTGGCAAGTCAAAAACACAGACCTATCTCCCCCAGTGTGAACCTCAATGGGGAGCTCTGGAGAAATGCACTCTTACACCCTCGGGAATCACTATTTCAAAGAATTCTCAATTTCTTCGTCTACTAAGATTTGAAAGCCACAGACCCAAAGCAGCGTCGCAGCAGACTTTTCCTTTTGAGCCACCAACCAGCTCTCTAACCACAGTGAGGAGACTCATTACTAGTTTTCAATGTTCAGCCTAGCTCAAGCATGCTTCTGGCTAGCTTTTTTAATTGTTTCTCTTTGTCCACCTTCTTGCCTTAAGGTTTATTACCTCTCTGCCTTCTGTATCTCTCTCCCACTTTGGCTGCTTCTCCAGTCTGGTAGCTGGGGCTGCCTAGCTTTTTGCCCCAGGGCGCACCTTCTTCTTCTGTGGCTTTAGGAGCCTAGGAGGCCTCCTCCTATTTATCCTCTCTGCCTGCCAGCCCCACCCATCCTTTCTCCTGCCTCGCTATTGGCTGTTCAAGCTCTTTATTGGACCAATCGGGTGCCTTAGGGCAGGCAAGGTGAAACAGATGCAACACATCTCTACATAATTGAACACACAGCCTTACATCGTCACACAAATGCAGCATAAGCAACAGTAACACAGCTTCACACAGTTAAAGTAATGTTCCACAACATAAACAAACGTAACACAGCTTCGCCTGGTTAGGATAATATTGCACAACAGAGCATGATTTGTATGCCAGGGCCCTCCTGAACTGTCCTATGGCAAGAGTCCCCTGTGTCCGTCCTAGAGCTGTAGTCGTTCTCGGATATAAAAAGTGCTTAGACAACTCCCCCATTTACACCAAATAAAAATGCACAAAAGCTCCAACTTACCAATATCAGAGTTTGTATAATGAAGATTTGGTGTGCTTATAAAACTGAAGATATGTGGTTTAAAAATGACAAGAGGCGCAGGGGATGGCTAAGTACTTACAATTATTTCAAGTGGCTGCATAGAAAATAAGTGGAGGTATCGTAAAGCAGGTGTAATTGGGAGTAATGGAATAAAATTAAGCACAAAAAAAAATTTTACTCGTGATGTTGGAATTCATTTTGTTCACAGCAAGGTCAGCGACTCCTGCGGTGGTTTAGGTCGAACAGCTGTACCCCTTTCTCCCGGTTAAGTAGTTTTTAAAACGTCACTAAGGGAGGAATGGGGGGGGTGGTTCTCAAACGTGTCTCTGCTGTCCATGTATTGATCTGGATGGCTTAACACAGCATTTAAGCGCTTCCTGTCTGTTGCCAAATTGCCTTTCGGTTGCTTTATTAACTGGGCATTTCAAACGCTCCTTTGAGGTCAGCAAGAATTTGTGTTTCTGCTTTCTTACATTAAAGAATCCTAAGAGGCAGAGGTATGTGGACCCCACCGAGGTCAGTCTGCGAGTTAGCAGCTGGCAGCGTGCGGTCTCGGTCCTCCACATCATTTAAATCAGCTTGTCCTTATTTCAGCTCCGCTGAGATTGCAAGAGGGAGGAGTAACAACTAAAGTCTTCAGTGACTTTACTACAGTCACTGTTTAACGGGTTTTCTGTTGCTGTGGCATGAATTACTGTCCATTTCTACGCTTATGCTGCAAACAAAACACACCGTGTCTGTGTCATTTCAGCTTTTTACAAATAACGCAGTACTATTAGGTGTGTGGAACGGTATTTATCTGAACGGTGTATTTGAATTGCTTTGAATTGGTATACTATGCCAAATGACGACGACTTTGAATGAAATTTTTGTTTGTGTTGACGTTGTCATGGATCCCAAACCGAAGAAGCATGGATTGCTTAAAGCAAGGTCCTAGATGCTGTTGATGCTGCAATCCTACGCTCACACTTAGGTACCACTATTCAGGGTACAGCGAAACGTTTTCTCCATTTAAACAATGTGAGTTCCCGTAAGCCATGTCCCCCATGACACAAAGGCTCCTCCTAAGCATGCCGAATCTGCCAAGATGTCAGTGTTCTATCCACTCACTTTTGGGTGCCGGGGGAGGGGAAAAATGCTCATAATGAATGTGTATATTGCTTGCCTCACTGTACTTCATTCTGGCCATAAAGAAGTTCCAGGTCTCTTGTGTTAAATAAAAAACTGATATAAAATGGATCAGGGGAGAAAAATGGAAAACGCTTACCCAAGTGTCATATTTCTCTGAAGATGGTCACTTTTATTGGAGTAGAGGAGGACATGGTGGTAGATAGATTCAGAGAAGATGTGGAAAGGGATGCCTGTTCTATCACACCCTTATTTTAAAGCCCTCCTGCCTTTCCATTGAGACTGAAGTCAAGCGCATAATTCTGCTCTTAACTACCTCCAGTCAAGGGAAATGGCAGGAATTTTATTCTCTCTCCGAGCCCCAATGCATCTAGTCCTCCCTAGTTCCCCAAAGGTGTGATCAATTTCAGTTCCTCGCTCTTCCAAGGGTCACCATCTGTAAGGATATTTTAGGCTGTCTAATTCCGCAGAAATACTCTCCAAGGCATACAGTCTCCTCCTCTACCCAACCATTTTATAAATAAACTCTATGTGAAAACGCCATCTTTCTAACCTCCTTCCGGCCAGCACATGTACAGGGAAGCTTAATCATCTGAAAGTCTGCTCTCAGCGGTGGGAAGTAGATACGAAATTGTTCTACAATGAAGCATTACGGCACAGCATCTGGAATGTGGCGTGGCTTTGGAGAGGGCAGGTGGAAGGGATTCTGCTAGATACTCACTGGGTGGTCAGCATCGAGCTCAGTGCCATACATGAGAACTCTGTGAGAGCACCTGTCTAACTCAGAGATCTTCCGAGGGAACCACAGCACATCCTCCAGTTCTGTTCAAAACAGGGCAGATTTGATAATATTAGCTCACAGGGTTTTTGTTTCCACTTAGCCAGATTGCAAGACCTCACAGCAAGCAAAACTAAATAAATAAAAAGTAAACCACCCTTACCTTCTTCTTCTGTCCATATGTTCTCGGGCGGATTCAGTGTCACGATGCTGGTCTGAAACTTCAGCAATTGGATGAGCTCATTGAACTCCGTTTTGCCACACTCGCAGTCCACGAAGATCTCAACTTCAGAACTTCTTCGCCGGGATCTCCTGGATTCGATGTGAACCATGTTGACATGTTTTTCCTGCAGAAACATGAGTAATGCCTCTGAATCACACTCGGGTCACGGTCAATGAAATGCAGTTACCCAAGGTGAAGTTTCTGACACAAAGGACGGACAGACTACGCTTCGGTTGATTAATAACGTGAGAGTTTTTCCGGCTACTGTTTTTATTAATAAAGGAGACTAGTTGGCATGCCTCCGAGTAGGTTGTCCTCTCTCATAGTAAAAAGGGGAGGGCATTGAAAACAGATGAAAGGCACTATAGAATTATGTCCTGACTGTAGGCATCGTCTCTCAGAGGGGTCCACATCCCACTGCTACTGAGCAATGATCTACAAAGAGGTTAGGCTGTCTATTGCATTATCCTAATGCAGTAGCCTAAAATTTGTAATTTTTTTTTTGTTTTTGTTTTTGTTTTTCAAAACAGGGTTTCTCTGTAGCTTTTGAGGCTGTCCTAGAACTCGCTCAGTAGACTAGACTAGCCTCAAACTCACTGAGATCCACCTGCCTCTGCCTCCTGAGTGTTGGGATAAAAGGCGTGTGCCACCACTGCCTGGCATTTGTATTTTCATACTCTTGAAAAAACACAAAGCTCTAATCCTACTCTTACAATAATAAAAGGCCTTTACCTTTAAAGTAAAGTTTAAGAATAGAGCAATCACTTAAAGTCAGACATGATCACTCATGCCTAAAATGCCAACACTCGGATGGCAGAGATAAGGGGATTTCAAATTCCTCTAGGCCACATAGGAAGATGCTTTTTTACATACAACAATCATTTAAAAATTAAAAAAAAGCAACTCCTTTTTTAAAAAAGTGAATAATAAAAATGACAGACAGAAAACAGACGGTGTGCAAAAACGCCTAAGATTTGGAAAATAATGATCAATGCATAGCCCAGATTTTAGGGAAACAGGAAAGGCAAGCACGAGAGGACCTCCTGGGCAAAACAACTCAAGTGCAGCCAAGAGGCAGAACACGGTAATAATACCCCCTAAATAGGATCAGACAGTGACTCTCTTTGACATCCCCCGGATTAGGTTTATATTCTGCAGCTGTCATTTTGTGAGTCTTGTTAGTACAAGCTATTCCGAGAAGAACAGGAACTCCCATGCTTAAAATGTGGTTTAAGTTTCCCATTGGTACGCCTTTCTCCTTTGTGGGTTGTAGATTCAGGGCTTCCCTCCATGCCCTGCCCTGCAAGCACGGAGCGCCCCACCCCATCAGAGGCTGCACAGAGGCCACACCCCATCAGAGGCTGCACAGAGGCCCCACCCCATCAGAGGCTGCACTCTTGGATTTCAGCACAGTTCCCGATACAAGCGTAGTTCTCTTTCTATTAAGCTTTGCAATAATGCTATATTTTATAAATTGGCTAATATAATAAAAGTGGGGTTAATATTAAGTTCAACGCCCAAGGGACTCCACATTCATTGTGCCACTTCGCGATTTTAATGTTTGGTTGAGTCAGACTAGATGTTTTTAGACGGGGGCACTGCCGCCCCGATAGGTTAAGGGGTTAATCTAAGGCCCAGTGACGAGCTGAGGGCAGAGTGCACACTCAGAGTGCATACCCCTTCTCCAGGGATTTTCCTCCTGCACCCAGGTGTCTAATTGAATTGGCTTGCCTTTGGGCACTGTAGGGACACAGTCCTGCATGGCATGATTATGTGTAAAATACTATTCCAGATTTCCATTAATACTTTTTATGGTACCTGATCTTTCCTTCAAGGCCAGAAGGGGATGAGGAAACATATTCTGAATCAGGTTAATTCCCCATCTCTGATCATCTAGAGGTACCATAAATGATGTCCCTGTCTGCATGGAACAAAATGTCTCATACTATTCCATCCCAACAACCCAGTTAGGTAGGAATTATCATTATTGCCATTCTACAAATGAGGAAATTGAACCGGGGAGCAGGTAACGGTTAGCCAAACAAGCAGAGCACAGGCCCAAATCCCTTAACTACGTGTCTACTGTACAACAGCCCAAGGCAGCAGGAAGATGTGAACTCTTTGTCTCCCGACTCAGCCCTTGCATCCAACAAAACCCATGTGTAAGGGGTTTTACTTAAGGTGGAGAAAACATCAGGTGTACAAGGCATTACTCTTCAACCAAGCTTATATTTAGGATTCAGAACAAGGATTTATTCCAGAGACTATGCCATACCTTCTAGAAGACACCCCTTCATCCCATATATACATATGTGTGTATGTATATACATACACATATATATTACATATATATACACATATATTTGTGTGTATATATATATATATATATATATATATATATATGGTGGACAGGAATTCAGCTTTACATAACACACATTATTAAGGAAGCGCCTGTGTATCTTACTTTATGAAATAAATGTGCTCTCATTACATGAGTACAGTTCAAATTTAGTAAATTAAAGCAGGGGAAAAGACATTTGATATTTTGAAGCTGTGCGCGCGTGTGTGTTGTGTGTGTGTGTGCATGTGTGTGTGTGTGCACGTGTGTGTGCTAGCGCATTTGCATGTTCAGCCGCAAAGCTCGCACTTCTGAACTGCAGACACAGCCACCCTACAGTTGCGTGAGAACTTTGCCCCTTTACCTGAAAGAGCCTCAGGGCCCTCACCAGCCCACCGACTTCATTCTTCAGGGAGAAGACAACTGCCGTCTTACCGCTGTCCGTCTCACCACAGCCGCTGCTGCGGTTTTCCTGGCCTCCCTTCTTGTCCTCATTTTTGCCTGCAACGGCTTTATTTAGCTTCAAGAAAGTGGGAGCACAAACGTCGGTTAGGTTCCAGAGGTTTCCATAACTTTATTGGTCTAGAGATTCCACTTGAATGCTGGAAGCCCCGCCCAGCCTGCAAGCTCAAGGTGGAGTCCCTGTGGTGCTCAATTGTCCGAAATACTGGTCTAATTGATGCTGAGATACTCATTGCACTGTGTCTAGAGAATTAACTTAAAGGAAGATCAGGTTTCCTCTAGTTTGACAAAAACCTGATTATCAGTAAGTACAGTGGTTCTTAACCTTCCTAATGCTGCGACCCTGTAACCATAGAATTATTATCATTGCTACTTCATAGCTGCAATTTTGCTACTGTTATTAATCGTGAAGTAAATATCTGGTATTTCTGATGGTCTTAGGCAACTCCTGTGAAAAGGTTGTTCGACCCCAAACCCCAGAGGGGGTTACGACCCAAAGGCTGAGAACCACTGAGAAAGCTAGAGCAGTCTATGTGGATAATTCCTGCCTTTCTTTTCAGGCTATTTTACAGCATAAAATCTGGTCTTTTATCTTAGTTGGCTCATATGTAAACTATATTAATTAGTAAATACACCAAACAGAAGACCAAACAAGCTCTTGCTTGACAAGAGCAAATGTGGCTTCAATAAAGTCTCTAAAACAAAAGTATTTACTGCTTTCTGAAACATGTCAGGACATGTATGGGAAAGGATAACTTCTCCATTGAGATCCACATTGCTATCACAAACCATGAACCAGAAACCTCCTGCCCACTGAGGAAGTCCAGGACAGAACAGTGTGCCCAGCGAATCCCTCTGCTTCTGGAAAATTGCTTCTGGAAAGCGACTAGCTCATTTCAGTCCCAAACAAAACAGGCAGTCAGAAACGGCAGAAGAGAGACAAAGAACTAGCTAGCTAATCATTAGGAGCAAACCAGAGAACCTGAGTGATAACTAAGTTCTTCTAGCTAAAGATAAAATAACAGACTCTAGCGATTCAGAACACACGCAGGACTGAAGAAACAAAGCTGGGGACTTTTCATTTGACAGACAATGTAACATTGTCTGTTTTGTACTCATTATGTATGAATGCAGAGTTGGGCAAACAAACAACGTCTCCCTGGCTAATGGTGGGATGACATAATCACACCAATCCGCTACATCCTCAAGGAACTGAGACCCGCACATTTACATGGACCCTGGTGAAAAGTGGTTGGCCGTTGTCAATTTCTCTACTGGCTTTATAGCTATGCATTAAGATTGCCTTGCTCGCTGAATGTGTATGTAATAGGAATGGGTGTTTTATTATTTATGACTTGAGGGAGAGAAGACGTTTATGCCGGCACTGGCACTTGACAGCGTGTTTAGTCATTAAAAGCTCAAATGCCTTCATAGTCTCAGCATCTGCTTCAGTGTATCCACACAGCCCCCAGATCTCACGTGCCTAAGGAGCATGTTCATGTGAAAGGGTCATACATTACCCATAACCGAGGGGTTTGTGTGTGTGTGCATGTTTTCCTCCCAGCAGTCTGTTATGACTTCAGAATTCCTCAATGTAATAGCTCATCTAAATATGCATGATACTTGAGTGCTAGGGAATCTACTTTACATTTTGGCCTCATTTTCACAAATTGATTTAAATAGTGCTAAGAAAGTTGCTGTGACTATTTTTCAACGTTTGTGAAGTAATAAGTAGAATGCACATATTTGGAACTAAGGCACTAAACTTGACTCCCCCCCCCCCTCTGACAAGCTGAATTTGGAATCTGTTGACAAACAGGAAAGACAACAGCAAAGCATCTCCTAAAGTTTTTAATGACAGAAGCCTGGTTATATTTTTATTTCATGTTAGTAAAACAAAAGTGCTTTTTTTTTTTATTAACTCTCATGACTGTTGCTCAAATTAGGATCTAAACCTTTGCAAGTGCTCTATCTTTATAAATACTGTTCTTTAATGTCAATATTTTAAACACAAGAATATCTTGCAAATATAGAAACAACTGGGGTATTTTTCATTATTCCATCAATTAAACTTTAAAGGGAGATTCATGTGGCATGCAGGAAACCCTCTGAAGGGTGATGGTTCCTCTTTTATTCCAAAACCTGCACTTAAAGTCAGAATACACACATTCTGTGTTTAAAGACAAGTTTTTTTTGGGGGGGGGTATAGGAGACAGAACTGTCTTGTAGAAACCGTAGAAATATATTTAATACTTTGAGGGAGGAGTGGATTTAGAACACTGGCTCACATAATCTTTCATTCTTCATGACAGGGAAGTTTATTTTCTATTTGAGGGAAGTTTATCTCCCAGCAATTCACCCACCTGCTTTCCTTTGCGAAGAGCTAAGGCAGACGGAAGGGAGGTAGAGAGACAAGACTACAGAGGAGGGAGCCCAACTGCATGCTTATGCTACAGCAGGTGTCCATATGGTGAGGTTAAGACAATTGCTGCCCTACAGAACTCTGGAGAGTGCCAGATACTCACTGTTAAGCTGCCAACTAGCTGATGCTCTTCGGGCACTGCTGAATCCAGGGACAACCCTCTCCTGGCCCAGTATTTACTGGAAAACATCATCATTGCCGGCTGCATGGATCCCGGTGTAATTTTCTTTCTCAGCAGCAGGGGGGACCAGAGGGGCAGCCTTGGCAGAGAAGAAGGAGGAAGAGGCCGGTGACAACAGCCTGCTCCGGGGCGCTGTCCAGAACCCTGGTGCTGAAGAGCAGTGTGCTTCCTCCCTCCCTGTGTTCCTTTATATGAGGGACTGGGGACTGATGGAAAGCTGATTAGAAAAAACTCATTTCTGGTTGCTGATGGCCACAGTCAGATTACAGATCTGAAGCCTGGGGTTATCTGTGCCCATGATGAAATTTGTTTGTTTCATAGGTCGAGTAGCTCTTCGGGAGAAGATGATGGAGAACAATACATTAGGGTTTTCTTTTCTTTCTTTCTTTTTTTTTTTTTCTTTCTTGCAACAAAACACCAGTCCTATAACGTTAACTCTCATGCCTGCTACTGGAAATTTGCCCTCGGTCTCTATTAATTGAAGGGCTTTGTACCTCCTGAAAGTAATAAAATGGTTTCTAAAAGGTTCTCCTGCAACCTGGCATGCTATGATAGGCAAACTTTGCATGTGTACTTAAGTGTGATGGCCTTCACGAGAGGCCTGTTTCTGAAACCTGTGGTGTCTCCACGCAGAAGGAAATTCAAGCTATTGTACTGAAAAATAAATAGGAGGCTTGGACTTAGCCCATCTACTAACCCTCTAGAATGCTCTTCACTGAGAATTATATAGAAACGAAATGCCCATAGACCCATCATTCCCTCGATACTTTCAGTGAATGAGCCTCTCCATCTGTGACTTGATCAGATCCAGCAAATTGGCAGGCATAGACGAAATTATATTCTTACTTTTCCAACATCGGAAAGCTTGCCAATCCTTTGGAGAATGGAAAATTCTTAACCAAGTGTATTTGTTTAACTGGAGAACTAAACAAAATCTGGGACTTGTACAGTTTGTTTATATAGAAAACAAAATGAAGGCTCTTCAAAGCTAAACTGTATGTGCTAACATTGACTGGGTTTTAATTGTTTCTGGAGACATGAGGGTTTATAATCATTTGATCCAACTCTGGAAATAATCATCCAGCTTGTGTTTCCACTGAAGACCAATGCTGAGAGGCTAATAGAAAAACTGAATATTAATTAAATTAACTGAAGAAATCATAAAATCATTATTGATATTTCTAAGTGCCTACTTTTGCCAGTTTCTATCCTGAACACTTTTTATGCACTTTTATAAGTCAAAACGTGATCAGTTATCTTAACAACACTTAGAGAAAGTTACTGACATCTGTGTGTGTGTATGTGTGTGTGTGTGTGTGTGTGTGTGAATCACCCGACCCTCCTCCGAGAAGTTTCTTCTTGCAGTAAGTAGTAATTAACCCAGAATCAAAACTGGACAATGTGCAGAGAATGAGGAACCTAGGAGTTCTCAAGCCTAAATGGAATGTCTTCATTAAATCCCTCCCTTCAGTGTATCAATGCAGAAGAAGCAGAGTGTGTATGCTAGAGAGGATGGATGTCTCCACATAGACAGTGCCATCCAGATACTATAGAACTAATGCCTATATGGTCCCATAGAGTCTGTGACAACGTGCACAGGACCTGTACAAATCCAAGCCAGGCAAAGCCCCAGCCCTATGAAAGGAGGTGGTCACAAAGTCCTGCCCCAAGCCAAGAAGCTATTTGCCACTGATGTTTGCTAAGAAAAGGAAAAGTCTGTTTTCACCAATCAAGTATCATTGGAGACATCAATCACACTCCAGATCTCATGCCCATAAGCAGTTGACCAATACAACACGTGTGTGCACACACACACATGCGCACACGTGCACGAGTGTACACAAATGCTTGTTTTAACTTATTTATTTATTTAGGGGGGTTTCAAGATAGGGCTTCTCTGTATTGTTTTGGAACCTGTCCTGGAACTCGCTCTGTAGACTAGCCTGGCCTCAAACTCACAGAGATCAACCTGCCTCTGCCTCCTGAGTGCTGGCACTAAAGGCGTGCGCCATCAATGCCCGGGTTGTTCTAATATATTTAACTTATTGTTTTTGTGATGGTTTGTTCGGTTCTTTTTTATTTGGGGGGGTTGGTTTTGGTTTTCTTTTTGAGAAGAAAGGGAGAGAAATCATGAAGCAGGGAATGGGGAGGATCTGGAAGGAGTTGGGGAAGAAGAAAAATATGAACAAAATAAATTATATGGAAAAAGAATGTGCAAAAATGCCAGAAACAATACTGATACCCATTTAAAGTATCTATTTCGGCTTTTAAAAATTGTAGTTACTTTTGTTCATTTAAAAAAAATATATGGATGCAACATAAAGGGTTTCCTTTTCTTTTTACAGTGTATAGAATATGAGCCCACAAGCAACAGCACCAAAAATGGAAAGCTTAATGGGATATAAAAGAGTGATCAAAGTCTTTGCAGACTCGAGAAAACTGCATTATCAAATAAACACCGAGAAGCAACTCAGTTACACTTTCACGCCCCCTAAGTGCTCCGTATTGCTTATCGCTGGAGCTACGGATAAACAGATGAGTATGTGAAGGAGTTGTCTGGAGTCTGTAAACATAGTCAGACGATTCCAAAATCTACAGCAAATATAGCCATCGATAAAGAGTGTGGTACTTTCTAAGGAGAGATGTACGATAAGTGGACTAGAACTGAAGCCTGTAAATAATCCACTGCATTTGTGATCAATAATTCTCAAAGAAAGGCTCCAAGACAAAACAACGGGAAAATTATAATCTGAACAACTATCATGGTGTGCCCAATCCCAGTTGACTCGTCTACAATGCAACCCTTAAATCTAAGGCTCAAGGAAAGTCCTGGAAGAGAACAGAAAAATGTTGGAGCCAGAGGCCCACGACACTTGCTGTTAAATAGTATCTTCTAGACTTGAAAGGGAAGCTGCACCCATGAAACTTAAGCAGTATGGCTGCCTACACAAATCTGCATAACGAACATGACAGTGTGGATGGGGGAAATTTCCTAAGGCCCCACTTCTAGAGGAAGAACTACAGGCAACCAAAGGCTGCTGGCGTGAGCTCTCCAATGTGTTACTCAATCTCAATGGATCAGCCCTAATTACAAATACAGGCAAGCAACAATAGACAGACTCAGTAGGTTTTGTGTGCATGTATGTAAAACTGTAATTAAAGCAGCAGCAGCCAAGGGTTTGACAGGGCATGGGGGGGAGACATGAGAGGAGATGGAGGGGGAAATGATGTGAATATAGTACTCATACGAAGCTATCAAAAAAATTAAAATAAAGCAAACAACCCTTACTATAAGGGAAAATACTTATTGCACCTCATCCCGAATCAAGAACTCTCACAATGCAGCCACATTAAAAGAGTTAAGATTAAATAGAAATATCTCCAAAGATATGGTGAATGGGCATATGAAAAAATGCTATATATCATTAATAATTGGAGAAATACAAATCAAATAAAAACGAGACACTGCTTCACTCAGCAGGGTAGTTAGAATCAAAGTAACATGGCACCTAGCATTGACGAAGGGACAGATTCTAGGCCTTTCCTTACATTGCCTGTGACACTGTGCAGTGATATAGTTTACTCCAGATAAAAGTTTAAAGATACCTAGAGTTATCACGTGACCTAGTTTTCACCCCAGGTCTGTGGGAAGTAATGTAGTTGTTTGAAAAGACTACCTGGCAGTTTCTCAAGACTATGGTTAACTAGAACTCAACAACTCAACTCTTAAGTACACATTCTTGCACGTAAGGACTAACAGCAGCTGGTGTGTCCATGCATAGCTCAAAATGGCTATCTACGTATACCCACATGAAAATGCTTGATATGCAACTGGATACAGCCAACCCTCATGACACCTGCATTTCCAGTAGATGGTCATAATGTTCTGCCCTTCCTTCTAATTCCTCAATGCCCTCCTTTGAAAAGCCCTAGCTGACCCTAGGAAGGAAGATGGGCTTTGGACAAGGGCCTTCCATCTTCTCCTTCACTCTTCGCAGATAATCACATTCCTTACCTCTCTCAACTTAGCTAGCCTACCCTCTGAACAAACAGATGAGCCTGGCTTTGGAAACTTAAGTACAGCGGATGTTATTACAGCTGTTCTCAGTTGCCAACTTGACTACATCTGGAAAACCTAAGCGTGAGAGACTTTTCTGGATTGGATCTCTTGAAGTGGGAAGACCCACCTTAAATCTGGGCCACACCTTCTGGACATAGGAGAGAGCAGTTTTGCCTTTTGTCTGCTTGTCCTCACTCTTGCTGACGAGTTCATGGACAACGCTGCTAAGGCGTTCCTTCACTGATATTAGAGCCGACGTCTCCAGGATTCCAGCGTGGAAGGTGTCTAGCTGAGACAGGCAGCCTCGTGGACTACACAACTATTGGATTCCTGAACTTTCTGTCAGGAAACCGCCAGTGTTGGACTAGCCAAACCACAAGTCTTTCTGTGACACTGATCTGCACTACGTTGGAGCTTAAATGTGCTCACCGCTGTGCTGTGGTGGGCACAAGCTTGCTCTACGGGGAGTATGATTTGCCCATCTTGGAACTCAAATAATAAATCTAGCATGCCACTAATGTACTCTCTAACCCTGAATGTGAGGAACAATTGACTATGACTTAAAAAGTGGAATTACTTGGCAATATCTATCTTTGTGTAGAAAACCCAATCACTAGCCAGGCGGTGGCGACGCACACCTTTAATCCCAGCACTCGGGAGGCAGAGGCAGGTGGATCTCTGTGAGTTTGAGGTCAGTCCCACTTCCTACACTAGCCAAAGCATACCACCAGATATTTCTCAGAAAATCAGGCAGAATGTGAGAGGGCCAGGTGAAATGAAGACAACACTGTTGCCTACAGCTGCAAAGGGGAACCAACTGACTAAGCGGCTGTGTTCAGACACCTGTGGGTGGCTCTGGCCTGGTTCACATGCATTTTACTCCGTAAGAAATGGAGACAACTCCCCTGTGGTGAAGTCTTCCGGAGTGTTCATGCTGTTGGTTCTGAAATAGTCTTTATGGGACTGGAGCTTCACTCTTGCAGAGATTGGGGGGGGGGAGGGGAGGGAAGGGCAGGGAGAGTCACAAGAAGACTGTTCTTACGAAGGTGGTGTAATTAAATGCACCATTTTCAGAAATCTAAGCTTAAATATCTTTCCCACT